CTGAAGTAAACAGTGGGTATCTGTGTTGGGACCAGTGCTGTTTAACATATTCATAAATGATCTGGAAAAGGGAGTGGCCAAATTTGCAGATGACACAAAATTATGCGACATGATAAAGACCAAGCTGGACTGTGAGAAACTACAGAAGGATCTGGCACTATTGACTGAATGGGCAATTAAATGGCAGATGCAATTCAATGTAGATAACTGTAAAGTGATGCACATAGCCAAAAATAACAAAAATGGGCAATAATAATAATAAAAAAAATATACCAACACTAGGATATGAGCTCTACATTAGCTCTTATCACACAGAAAAGAGACCTGGGAATCATTGTGGACAGTTTGCTAAAAACATCAGCTCAGTGCTCAGCAGTTGTCAGAAAGGCAAACAAAATATTAGGGATTATTAAGAAGGGAATGGTAAACAAAACTGAAAGTATCAGCATGCCCATAAATCCATGGTGCATCCACACCGTAAAAAACTGCCCAGTTCTGGTCTTCATATCTCAAAAAAGGATATAGGAGAACTAAAGAAAGTACAGAGAAAGGCAACAAGGATGATCAGTGGTATGGAGGGGTATATGAGGAGAAAATAAGAGACCAGGCCTTTTCAATTTAGAAAAGAGATGCTTGAGGGGGGGGGACATTATAAGGGTTTACAAAATACTAAATGGTGAAGAGAAAGTAAACAAGTATGAGTGCATCTACACATGTACTTTAATATGCATTAACCTCTATTAATGCTCATTAAAGCATCACTAAAAGTGGTGCTAATTAGCTAATACTCATTAAAATAGGATAATGTGCATTAAGCATCACTTTAAAACCATGCTCTTTAGTTAATGCACATTAAGACAGGCTAATGCGCATTCTCTTAGTAAAGGGGTAGGCAACATTTTTTGGCCGGAGCACTGAAAACCCCCACAATGCCTACCTTGGAAGGTGCCAGAGTGCCACCATGCCAGAAAAACAAGCTGAGGGCAGGGGGTACATGGCAGGATGCCCTGCTTGTGCCCCTTGCCCCCCCAGCTAAAGCCC